GAGTAATAAGCTCCAAATACATCTAGCCAAACCCGTCACGATCTAATGCACTGTAAATGCCGGATTTTTAAAAAACAAATAGGCCTACCGGAACGCAAAAATTTAAAATCTGACATTTTCCTGAACAGGATCCAGCAGGATCAAATTAAGTACTGGTCATAATACTCACATAAAAATGTTTCATGTTAGCAACAGTGCGTTTTGCTGCAGCAGCGCCGATGGAAGCGGTTCACTGACTGCGCAGCACATCCACACGCACCACAGTTACGTTTGGGATAATTTTATTTTAAATGCCATAATGTCAGTTGAAAACATTGCAATAGTGTTTTAAAATACAATAACGAGCACCACGAAACCATTTAAAGAGGCGCGTTCAGCGTGTCGGGATAGGAAACAGCCAACAAAGTAAAATTATCTCAAACGAGCTCTCTTCATTTTATCAAATGATCATAATCACATCTATTCATTTTACAATCCTGCTACTAGCATTTTATTCAAACTAAAACCCCTTTAACTCGGGTGAGTTTTTTTTTTTTGAGTGGGTTTTGCACATCCTGTCATGCCGGTGACTGCGTGCTGCTGCAATAGACGCATTTTGCTGCATTAAAGTTAACGATTAATCGATTAATTGATCGTTAATTTCAACGACGATCGATCATGGAAATGATCGAAAATTGACATCCCTATTCACAATATAAAATTTTTCCTGTATTTCTGATCAAATAAATGCAGCATATATATATACACACACACACAGAGATCTTGAATAAAAAGTATTATTGATATTAAATATATATTTTGAATTGATGTCCGATTTGGAGATTTCTACAGGAAAGAAATTCAGCCAGACACAACAAATCTATGCTGTATCGGCTGATGTGAGAGGACGGTAGTCAGAAAACCAAGCCATTTCCTGATATATTATTTTCAGACTATATGGTTATAGCTGGAAATGTTCTATTATCCTAAGGTCTTCTCGTAAGATGAGGCCAACAGCTTCTTAGTTTCTTTAATATTCCTCTGTTCTGCAGGTCTGGCTGGCTTGATGTCTGACCCACCTAGACAATGAAGCCAGCCTCTTAAAGGTCACTGAATTTTCTATATGCACTTCAAACAGTGACATCCACCCACTGTCTCCCTCTGATTTCCCTCTCTGACTCCATCACTACTCACTTGCACAAAGTTCCCTACGCTACTGGCCTTTAATGAGCTTTAGTCCTGGACACCTCACCAACAGATTCGTCTACTCAGAGCGGACAGGTCAATCCAGAGAGTCATGATGTGGCTCTCATGACAATCAGCCTCTGATTGAGTCTCAGTAGTGCAGGTGGCTAAATCACATGGCTTAATGTGAGCCTACAGGGAAGGGCTTTACACAGCACATAGGCAAATAATCAGAGTAAACATTGCATTAGTTCATAGGTGGAAAACAGGATGTAACAGGTGTTCATAGTGCAGAAAAAAGCTTGACTGTGTTGTTTGTATAATTGTGATAATAATACAATATTATATTGCAATTAAAGAAATGTAAGCCAATTTTTAAGACCATTAAAGTTTTTTTAATTGAGACATTATTTTCCTGACATCTATCTATCAGTAAGATTTTTTTAATGAATATTTTTATTCACCAAGAATGCATAAAATTCTTTCAAGACTTTAACACTGATGCAAAAAAGAACATCTATTTTAAATGTTGTTCTTTCTATTCATCAATATTTCTAAAAAAAAAAAAAAAAAAAAATTATATAATATATAAAAATTAAAATTTCACCAAATCAGCATATTAGAATGATTTCTGAAGGATCATGTGACACTGAAGACTGGAGTAATGATGCTGAAAATTCAGCTTTGCCATGAAAGAAATTACATTTTAAAACATTTTTAAAATTGTAATTATATTTTTAAATATTGTTGTTTTGTATGTATTTGATCAAATAAATGAAGCCTTGACTATAAGAGACTTTCAAAAACATCATGAAAAGTTTAGTACCGATCCTTTTGAATTTGAAAGTTTAAAAGCTTTATACTCCCATCAAAGAAACAAAAACAATAACGCAGAATTTTAATTTTTGCATGAAATTTCCATGCAAAAAGTTCTAATTTAATGGTCCTAAAAATTGTTTCATTTTCATTACATAATACACTGATTTTAGCATGATTTTTGCCCCTGACGGTGTCATGAGATTTACCCATTTAAAAGACCAGCAATAAGGATCTGAGCGGCTGGGGGAGTGGGCAGTAATTTTATAGCTAGCACTGGAAAGTTGCTAAGAAGTGAATTAAGCAGTCAGACACAGCCCAGAAAAGCTCACGCGATGGAGATGGAGAGCACAGCCCTCATCAGTATCTGCCGCTATGAGCTCTGATGCAGTTCAGCATGATGGGTAGAGACACATCATCATCATCATCATTAGTGTCTCGCATACCAAAGCTTATTCTAGCTGCTGCATGCTGGTACTTTCTGCTTTTGTAAGAGGGTGATGAGAGCAGTGCTGGGTCACACGTGGCGATGATGACATACTACGACTTCCAGGTTGGATGCGAGAGGCCTGCAAACCCACTTTATTAACCTACCATTACAAAACCACAAACATGCTCACTTACCATTCTGTAAGGTCTGCTTGCCTCCAGACAACACTCCTAGAGGTAGCGTTCCGGTTGGGGTGAGCCCTTTGAGGGTCAGTACACTCTCACTCTCTTCCCTGAGGCATAACACACACACACACACACACACACACACACACACACAGTATTAGGGTTGCGTTCAAAGAACTAAACGGCACATAATCAATTAGGGTGGGGTTGGGGGAAAAAGGAAAGGAAATATATGGTCATTTGAAACTTTGCTGCAGCGCCAGCCTAATCTGAATATTGCTCAGAAATCCAAAGACAAAAGACTTCAAAATGTCCTCTGTTCCTCCATTATCTATGGCATTGTTCATCTGGAATAATGTCTAATATAATTAGACCACTATTCTGCATGATGACTCACTGATGCCAGCTCATTAATCCTAATGGAGGAAAAGTGTGTGTGTGTGCACGTGTGGCATTAAAACAAAACTTCACTGGGAAATTTTTCCTGCTCTTTATACAAACACTTTTTTTCCCTTTTTGACAACTGTAATTATCTCCCAAGCAGCACAGTGAATATACACACACACACACACACACACACACATATATATAATTGCATGCAGACTGACCTGAGAACAGAAAAGACTCTGGCCATTTTCCCAATGGCACGGATCTTATTTCTGATCACCTCCTTACGGACAGCTGGAACTCCACCTGCTCCAAAATACAAAAAAAAAAATCAGCATCAAACACTCACCGCATAGGACCTCTGACCCCCAAACCAGCTAAGAAGGGAGAACCAAAAATGTGGAAATGCTGAGAATCAGACATCCTGAACAATAACCGTTTATTTAGAAAATGATGACAACTGAATTTTGAATTGCATTTGAAACCGTTATTTATTTATTACTCTTTATCGACTTAATAAAGCTATAATAATAATAATAATAATATAATAAATAAATAATAAAAAAACAATAACATTTACTGAATAAAAAAATTAAAAAAAAGATTATTATTGTTAGAATTTTATGATACAAGTAATATATTTCTGTTGCAATGTCTTCTGTTTTCTGTCCAAATTGCTTGGTTTTATACAGAAGGCTCGAAAATGTTATGCAAAAAAAAAAGACTTAGCGACAGACATATTACTACTACTACTAATAATAATAACAATAATAATTAATAATAAGTAAGCTGCATTGGATAAAAGTATCTGCTAAATGCATACATTTAATAATAATAATTATTATTATTATTATACATTATCACAATTTTTATAAAATGTTTAATTGCTTAATATTTAAGCAATTCTAAAAAAAATTATATAATAACTTTTTTTTTTTACATTATTACCATTATTATTGATTACTATTCAATTGCTTAATATTTATTATTTTAGCTTTTATTCATCAAAAAACTGAATGAAAACATCAGTGCTTCACTGTGTAGTTGACAATTTTATATATTTCTCATTCTAAATATAGGGGAAATGCTGTCATCTCCACCATTTTTAAAACCCAAAAGTTGCATTATTAGATTTGTATAATAACTTGCATTGGTCTAAACTGTTTGGAATTACTCAAATGAGACAATAAAGTGAGCCTGAAGAGCTCCAGAGAGCATTTTGTAAGCCTTGCATGGGCTTGAGAGTATTTGCAGAAGAGTGTCACGCCTTTGCTCTAATTATTTAAGCAGATCTGTTTCCAGTTCAATAATTACACAAGGCGAAACCACAATCCTACATAGTCTATCCATTGCATTTAAAAATATTTTTAATTATTTTAAATTGCAATAATATTTCACAATACTACTGTTTTTATATGAGTGCACCATCATGTGAATTCTAATCTCCACAACAGACTAAGCAGGAAGTATCATAGGATGACATAATCAGACATCAGACCTCCAGGGAAAACATCTTAGACAGCTAGAATGACAGCTGGACACTTCTGAGGACCTGCTGTCTGATGATGACCAGACAGACATGTGCTTACACACACACACACACACACACACTCACTCTCTCTCTCTCTCTCTCTCTCAGCAAGCACATTCAAGCTGTTCTGCATTAAATTATGTCACTGAACATGAAGCAAGAGGAAATCAGCATATAAGCCAGTTGTCAGTTTACCAAACTTTATTTAATCTCAAATGTGTAATACATGAGCGTACAAGAACACCCTTACCTTCACACAAGTCGTCTCCCTCTGACATGAGCTCATCATCAGAGCAGATGTTTAGGACATTCACCAACATCTCAGTCACTGTAAAAAGCGAAACTTCCATGTTAGAGCTGCAATATAAGCTGCTATTTTACATGATATCTATGTAGGTCTTTATTCTGTGCTACAATATTCCTAGAATTCCTAGTTTAATCAAAATATATATGGCTTACAGCCATGTAAAGATGGAAAGGCTCAGCAAGTCTCAGATGATTTTGTAAAAGGTGCCCTTGAATACGCTGGCACAAATAGAATGACGTTAAGATGACGTTTCAGGTTTGAGTTTTTCTGTATTCTTCCCACTGAGAGGACACAGTCAGCCACCAAAGACACGTCATCAGCAAGGTCATTCTTCCTTCACCTCCACATGGCCTGTCAAATACTACCAACCATCTCAGTCTCACAGTCCCTACAAATCACAACCCTCGAGTTTGGGCACTTACCTTTCTCGCCCACAAAGGGCAGCGACCACGTAAACACATCCATGAAGTTGGGTAACCAGTACGGGTGAGGAGAGCAGTTGAACTGTCTAATGTTCATGACATTGTTTTCATATTTCAATACAGCCGCTGAGGAGGAAAAACAAGGGGAGATGTCATTCACATTCATGAAAACAACAAAAAAGAAAAAAGCAACCTGATAGGCTGCCACACAGGTTCACAAACAGTCATCCAATACTTTGCCATTCTAGATTTCTAGACACTTTAGAGTCAGTATATGGTAATAATTACAGCAGATCTGCAGGGAATATTTTTTCTTTGCACAGCTGGCGATTGTTACATTATCCTTCAGCAGTCCAAATTAGAGGCTCCAACAATAAATATATGAAATCAGAAGTCTATTGTAAATTATTTAAATAAGTAAAGAAAAACCTCATTCTTATTAGCTGAGAATGTGGGACTGCTAAGTTGATTGTGAATTCAGTTACGTCACTCGTAATGCTTTATCAAAGGGGCTGCGAGTTAAGTTTCCAAAGTAATAATGACGCTAGGTTTTTTTTCAGGGTCTGAGAACAGTTTGAGGTTATGAAAAGCACGAAATGTGAGACCAACATACTTTAACAAACTAACATACCTTTGTTGTTATAGACATCTAGGTAATTTGGTGCTGAGAAAATGGTAATTAATGAAGGGAAGCCTGTTGTCTGACTTTTTCTGTACATCCTGTACCTGAAACAGAGAAACACCCAAAATCTGTAGATTAGCTCAGCGTGCCAATAAGGCATCTGGCATAGATCAATAAGCAAAGCACTCTCTGTCATTGTTAGATAATGTACTCTTGTCAAATTCAGTGAGCAATGATCCAATGATCCACAGTTGCAGATGGTAAATATATTTTTTAACTGGCAGACACAGAAGGACTACATTGACATCACAAGATTAAACTAGCAAAAGCGCAATTTAGCTTTTTCAATCTCACTATCATGAAACATCATAATCGATACTTACCCTGCGTCTTGTGCTTCATGTGCTCTGATTAATGACAACAGGTTGTTGTTTGTCAGAAAGTCACAAACTGCTGCATAACTGTCAAACAAGAGAAAGACAAACTTCTGAGGGTCTCATAATGAAAGACCGCCAGCATGTTTTCAGCCCTGTAAACATCTCAGCCCCTCTTGCTCATACTGAACCAATGTACGAGCCAATGTACTGGATGGTTCTGAATACAGCTTTTTGGGGTTCTCTTTAATGGGGGTCTCGATACAGTAAACTCTCAAGCTATTACAGGGCTCACAAAATCGCTAGCCCGACATCCCGGGGCTATTGTGTTTTCTATTCGGGCTTCCAAAATGTATCACCGTCCTGCCCGACGGGCTATCTTGAACAGTGATATAAAATTCCTTCCTTGATTTGCGTTGTTCACTAGCTTATAGGGGTAAAACGGATCATAGTTGATCGTTTGCACATGTTTCTAAGTTTTGCTGATTTAAACATTCAAGTGTTTTAAACCATTCACGACCATTTGGAGCTGCGCGCACTCATTCAAAGCGCGCATAGAGAGCCGCGTTTTAGACAATGTGCATACACAGAATTGATTCCTCTTTCGCATATCCTTGCATCTGAATGAACACATACACACAAAATAATCTCAAAATAACTGTCTCGGCAAGTATTCTCGTAAACACAGTTGGTTATGTCTTAAGTGAACGTAAACAGTGGTGAAAGAAATCTCAAGTTCATCATTATATTGGATCCGTGTATTCGGTCTTAAATGGGCAGCAGCCTATAAATACCTGCTGTTCCATAAGCGCCACCTGCTGTCAGAGAGTGACATTTGCGTCTCATTCACAAAGCTAAAATCAGACCATTCTGTTTTTGCTTCAAATTTCAAAATTATACAATCTAATTGCAATCTAAATCACATGTATTTAGCATCTTTGTTTGGATCATGATTCAAATGCAGTGGTTGCCTCTGACTTTAAATGGAAAAAGCAGAGCCAAAGTCTTAGTTTGTTTATATGAAGAGATGTGTTTTATTTGCATTTAATTATTTGATTTGGGATTTGTTTAAAAACTTAGTTAGTTTTATTATTTGACATATTTCAATTTCACAAAGAAATGTGCAGCATTTTGTTGGAGAAGTAATAAAAGGACTTCCTTTTCATTTATAATTTGTCTTAAATCTAATTTTGTTAAAAAGAAATATTGTGAGAAAATTGTATTGTGAAATCAGTATCGTATCGCATAGCATTGTGAGTTGAGTGAATCGTTACATCCCTACATACTACTAGTTTTTGCTGAGGTATCAAAGTAGTGTTCTGTTATTTAAATAATAAAGAACCATATTTTGCTCTTCTGCAAAATGATCCGATCTGTTACTCAAAATCTGGTATGATAATACAATATGATCTGAGCCGTGGGTTTTGTGATCCGTTTACTCTCTTGACTTGTTATTTGAAGAAAAAAGCAATCACTGAAGATTTTAATCATGCTGATTTTTCCGCTGTGAAGTTCCTTTTTTTTCTTTTTTTTTATTCGGGCTACTTAAATTCATTTTGGGCTACCAAAATCTGGAGAATGTCTGCCCGAAGGGCTACCAGCGATTTTGAAATTTTGCGAGCCCTGCTATTAGACCACCACCTGCACTTTGTTAACATTCAGTTGGCGTGGTACAAGCAAATGCCAGCTGGACAAGCAAACAGTGAACAAGCACACTTCTATATACACCCAGAACGAAACCAGCTGGGTGACACAGATCAGGTTATTTCCAGGAGTCGCTGAAAATCAGACAGGATTTCCGCACCAGCTCACAGATGCCCGAATGACTCAGTTGACTCAGACGATTATGAGAAAGTAAAAAAAAAAAAAAGGTTTTACATCAACATTCCAATCAGCTTTTTTCCTCAATACGTAACCTAAGCGTATTGCTTAGGCATATTGTTAAAACCTCAATACTCTAAGAGCTTTATAGTTCTAAATATTAAGCCTGATAAAGGTAACTGATTACTCATGCCACACACATACATATATATATATATATAAAAGCTACATTCAATTTTTTTTTGCATAAATTACAAAATGTATTAATAAAAAATATCAAGATTTAAAAATAAACAATAAAAAGAAAAAACAACAACAAACAAAAAAGTTATTAAACAAACTTTTTAATGACTTTTTTTGCTACTTTTCAATAGTCTTATGTATAGACATAAACAAGAACAGAATACACAAAAATGATGCATAAAACAGTTATTATTACAAGTATAATTATAACAGAATTATAAATATAATTTGGATAATAATAACTTACAATTCTACACTGATTTGTTATGTGTGAATAAAAAGAAAAATGAAGGTAAATATAACTTTCATATTAGATTTCATAATATTATTATAATGTTGAATAAATCTCCTTTTCTCAAAAATCTGGGAGATCTACCCAGTGAATACAGCTTTGCTTCAGTACCTGAAGAAATAGGAGCAGCCTCTGACTGAGTTGTGGTTAAAGTGCTCTGCCGTCTTCTCACTGCCGTAGTCCTCTCCTGGGTCGGCCCAGATCAAATCACACATAGGCCCAAATGCCGGGGGCTCCTTAAACCGGTCTAACTGCAAAATACAGCGTACAGACAAAGAAAGAAAGAGGCATGAACACATCTTGTTTTATAATTTAAAAAATTGTAAGGAAAGGACAGGACATAAACAGATGCTTACTTTCCTAATGTCATCTAAGCAGTTGATTTCTGGTGAGAGGCCACCGTGTACACAGAGGAACTGCTGGTTTAGAAGAGCTGCAAGAGGCAAGCAGTCAAAGGCTTCCATACATGCGTCATAAACCCTCTCTGAATACTTTATTTTACCTGAGAAGAAACAAAGACAGACAAGCACGACTATATTAAGAGTTCAGAGCACTGAAGTCAAGAAAACCCCAGACAGACTAATTTCTCCTTCCCTCAGCCTATCACTAAAGATCAGATATGGTTCATTGAGCTGCACTGTTGCATTTATTTCATGAAATAAATAAATAATAACAATAATTAATATATTTCATGAAATAATAAAAGCAATCAAGAACTCAAACCTTTCAACAACAAACTACAAAGTCATTTACATGGCAGTATATCACTCATTCAGTAACATTTTTATCAAAGGCCGATTTTGGCATTTGAATAAATAATTGATTAAAGAAATACAGGTTGAGATCATAGGCCATTTATGATAGGTGGGACATCACATATCTCCACCACTTATTGCCATGGTCGCTTTTGTCCCAACCAATTTATGACATAACTTATAACGATAAGAATGTGTCTAAATACATCTAATTAAAAGTGTGAATATTTGAATTGAATGTTCAGTTCACTGGTTTTTGATTCAGTTCAAAAGCACAACAATTCAATTTGATTTCCATATGCAATTCAATGTGAAACAAATGTATTTTAAAAAGTATATTATGCTAACAAAGGCTATTTATTTAAATATATAGTAAAAATACAGTAAAACATTAATTAAATATAAAATATTTTTTAATATATTATATATAAAAAATAATAATAAAAAAACCCAACAACAACAAAAAAAATAAAATATATATATATATATATATTAATGTAATATTCCTGTGAAGGATCAACAAACATTTCTTATTTTTATCAATTTTGTAAACAGTTGTGCTGCTTAATATTTTTTGTGGAATCCATTAAATTTTTCAAGAACTTTATGATCATTTTAAAGTTCAAATGAACAGTATTTATTTGAAATAGTCATGTTTTGAAACATCATACATTTTTTTGATAAATTTAAGTTATCCTTGCTCAAAATAATTTCATTTCTTAAAAAAACATTTTACTGCCCCCCACAACAAATAATTTGGAGCGGTACTTTAAAACATATTCCAGTACATTGCTTGCTAAAAATGTACGTTATTAATGAATTTATCAAATCAGGACTTAAATACAATAACAAGCATCTCCATGTGCTGCTGAAATAGACCTGCTCTTCAAATCAGTACATACACTATTTATTTAGTAAAGCAGTAAAAGTCAATCAAAACCATGCTAAATTATTTGTACATGATAATAATATTCCATGATTTCACAACCAGCATGTCTGTATGCAGGCAGACAGTAATAACTATACCTAAAGCGACAAAACCTGCCACCAAGCAGACACAAAAGCAGCAGGGACTATTCAATTAAATTCAAATGAGCCTAATTAGTGCAATGCGAATCCTTAATTCAGCTGCTGATTAAGCTTATAAATACTTTAGTATCTGGACTGAAGTAGTCTCATTAGTCTTGTCTTCTGGTTTCCACTAAATACAGCTGGGTTATTCACCAAACCGTATTACACATTCGCTCCTCGAGCGAGGTCTCATGGAGAGCACTTGGGCTTCCACTGAACATTCAGCCATGAAACCACCTCCATCTTTGTTATGCAGAGCACAATAGCTATGCTATTGTATGAGCTTAATAGCAAACAGTGCTCATTTCAAGCACAATAGACTAGTACCAATGACTCATACAAAATCAAAACCAGGGATTGAATCAGACCTTCAAAAGAACCTTCATTTAAATGTAATTTAGATTTTACCAAGAAGCAAAAGCAAAGTTTTAATGTAATATGCTATAACCGGTACATTAGCAAAGATGATACACATGGCCGGGATAACCTTATGAAAAAGGTATTGAACGTGCTTCTTGTAGTGTACTTTTAAAGATACATTTTAAAGGTACATTTAAAAAAAACTGTACTTGTAGATAAAAAATATTAATGAAATAAAATATATAATGTTCTAACAATAAAATATAACATTTTAATAATCTTATTTCATCTTATAACTACAGTGGGGAAAATATTTATTTGATCCCCTGCTGATTTTGTAAGTTTGCCCACTTACAAAAAAATGAAGAGTCTGTCATTTTTATGGTAGGTTTATTTTAACATATAGAGATAGAATACCATCCAAAAAAATACAGGGGAAAAAAACACATTATATAAAGGTTAGAAATTTACTTTTCAGTGAGTGAAATAAGTATTTGATCCCCAAACAAAACATGACTTAGTACTTGCAGAAACCCTTGTTGGTAAGCACAGAGGTAAGACGTTTTTTGTAGTTGGTCACCAGGTTGACACACATCTTAGGAGGGATTTTGATCCACTCCTCTTTACAGATCCTCTCTAAATCCTTAAGGTTTCTTGGCTGTCGTTTGGCAACTCGAAGTTTCAGCTCCCTCCACAGATTTTCTATAGGATTGAGGTCTGGAGACTGGCTAGGCCCCTCCATGACCTTAATGTGCTGCTTCTTGAGCCACTCCTTTGTTGCCTTTGCGGTTATGTTTCGGGTCATTGTAATCCTTGAAGACTTATCCATGACACATCGTCAGTACTCCGGCTGAGGGAAGGAGGTTCTCATCCAAGATTTTACAGTGCATGGCCCCGTCCATTTGCCCCTCAATGCGGTTAAGTCGTCCTATAACCTTAGCAGAAAAACAGCCCCAAAGCATAATGTTTCCATCTCCGTGCTTGACTGTAGGGATGGTGTTCTTGGGGGCATAGTCAGCATTTCTCGCCCTCCAAACACAGCAAGTCGAGTTAATGCCAAAGAGCTACATTTTGGTCTCATCTGACCTCAGAAATTTTTCCCAAGCCTTCTCTGAATCCTTCAAAGGTTCATTGGCAAACTTTAAACAGGCCTGTACATGTGCCTTCTTGAGCAGGGGGACCTTGCGGGCGCTGCAGGATTTCAGTCCATTGCAGCGTAGTGTGTTACCAATGTTTTACTTGGTGACTGTGGTCCCAACTGCCATAAGACCATTAACAAGCTCCTCCCGTGTAGTTCGGGGCTGATCCCTCACCTTTCTCATGATCATCCTTACCCCATGAGGCAAGATCTTGCACGGAGCTCCAGACCGAGGCCGATTGATGGTTGTTTTGTATTTCTTCCATTTCCGAATAATCGCACCAACAGTTATCTACTTCTCACCAAGCTTCTTGTTGATGGTCTTGTAGCCCATTCCAGCCTTGTGCAGATCTACAATCTTGTCTCTGACATCCTTTGACAGCTCTTTGGTCTTGCCCATGGTGGTGGGAAAGGTTGGATTAGAATATATAGATTGTGTGGACAGGTGTCTTTTATACACCTAATGAGCTGACATTAGGAGTAACTTCTTAAAGTGACAGGACTAATCGGTGTTCCACATGGGCACATAACCAATCTGTGGGAGCCAGAATTCTTGCTGGTTGGTAGGGGATCAAATACTTATTTCACTGACTGAAATGCAAATCAATCTCTAACCTTTATATAATGTGTTTTTTTTCTGGATTTTTTGGTTGGTATTCTGTCTCTATCCAAAAATAAAAATAAAATAAACCTACAATAAAAATTACAGACCCTTCATTTCTTTGTAAGTGGGCAAACTTACAAAATCAGCAGGGGATCAAATAAATATTTTCCCCACTGTATAGTGTGCCATTCAATACCACATTTAAAATGTAAAAATGAAAGTTAACCTATTTTAAATATGACATACAAGTTTCAAACTTACATTAACATTTTCGTTTACCACAAATGTTCTCAATACATACACTTTAACAACATTTTAAAAAAACAACATAAGTAATTATGGAATTACATAGTAATACAAAACTTAAGTCTTAGGTGGGTCAAAATAAGCACTCTAAAGCCCATCTAACTGAATTTAATATAAATTTAAACTATTACATTTTAATTTCACGGCTTGCGAAAGCATCACATTCAGGTCGTACTTCAGTACATTCTTTTAAAATATATTTCCAAAATAAGTATGCTGAAACATACTTTTTCAAAACGGTAGTCATGGCATTAGCTGAAAACCTGAATAAAAACAAGATTAGTAAGCAATTTTTTCACACATGTTAAAGGGGTCATACGATGTTGCTAAAAAGAACATTATTTTGTGTATTTGGTGTAATGAAATGTGTTTATCCGTTTTAATGTTCAAAAAACACATTTTCCACATACTGTACATTATTGTTTCTCCTCTATGCCCCGCCTTTCTGAAACACGTCATTTTTTCAAAGCTTATCGGTCTGAAAAGCGAGGTGTGCTCTGATTGGCCAGCTATCCAGTGCATTTTGATTGGCCGAATACCTCAAGCGTGTGACGGAAATGTTACGCCTCTTACCATATTGTGATGCCGTGTCCCAGAGCGACGAGACAAAACCAATAAAACCCATTATAAACGAGGCATTTTTTGCATCCAGTGGCGACATAATTACGGATTATAATGACTTATACTGTCTTTTTGCTGTCTATATTTTGGCAGTTCACGGGAAAGATTTGCTTTATTAAAGTCTCCGAGAATTATTAAAACAGAGTCCGGGTGTTGTTGCTCTGTCTCTGTGATCTGATCAGCTAGTTTCTGTAAAGCCAGGCTCACGTGCGCTTGCGGAGGAATGTAGACACTCACGAGAATGAACGAGCAAAATTCCCGCGGCGAGTAGAAAGGCTTACAGTTAATGAAGAGCACTTCTAGATCGGGACAGCACATCTTTTCCAACACAGTTACATCTGTACACCACCTCTCATTGATGTAAAAGAATGTCTTGCCGCCGCGCGATTTCCCCGTTGATTCTGCGTCGCAGTCCGCTCTGAACAGCTGAAATCCCGGCAGATGAAGCGCGCTGTCCGGAATGGCATCATTCAGCCAGGTTTCCGTGAAACACAGAGCAGCAGAGTTTGAAAAATCCTTGTTTGTCCGGGAGAGCAGAAGAAGTTTGTCCGTTTTGTTGGGTAGAGAGTGGAGATTCGCCAGATGGATGCTAGGCAACGCCGTTCGAAAACCACGCAGTCTGAGCTTGACAAGCGCATCGGCTCGCT